AGATCAACTGGCATTGAAATGAATTTTTGATAAATTTCTAATTGCAAATTAAGTTTTGAAAACACTTCTTTACTTTTGAAGTTACCTAGTTACCTAGTGCAACTTACGTACAATGTTCAAGTAAGTAGCCGCAGTTTCTCATCACAAAATATACCAATTTTTTCATTGATTGCCAGCGCATTGTATTATAGGTCTGTTATTAGCCTATTTATCAATAAACAAATTAGATTATTTTTAGTCAAACCAGCACTATTTTGTAGGACATTCCACAACAAGAAGAAAAATCTGTCAATTTTTCAATTACCTATTGGCTTGCCAATTAAATTCCCACTTCAGAAACACTGCGCAACGCCCAATTATTGTTTAGAATGTTGTTCCAAACCATTACGTACTACTAAAAACTCGGTTGTGCAGAGATACAACTTACAACCATCTCACTTGGTTCATCGATTGCACTACTTCTGCCAGCGGAAGTTCTACTTCCTATTATTAAACTAAAAATTATATTATTTCCAAAATGTTATTGGAATTTTATTATTGATTCCACTAAAGTGATATATAATCAAAGAAAAAGTGCACTAAATACACTTAAGATAATATATTAAGACGCAATAGATATCGCTACAGATGAAAGGTAATATTGGTAAAAAAAGCTACTGCATATGTTTTATACAATTTTAAGATATCTAATCAGTTCAATAACAAGTAAACAAATGTGAAATGTTTACCTTTAATACTACAAGATGTTCATGTGCAGGGTCGAACTTAACATTACAATATAAACTTATAAGTTTTGGGATTATTATTTTACTTGGAGACCATGTCCATTATTATACTTTACGAATTTATGGGTAACAATAGAGAAAACGATAGAAAAAGGGGAGTCCGTACATAGGAGTTGTATATTTAGAAAAAGCTTTTGACAATGTTAAACGGGACAAGATGTTAAAAATGTAGGGATGAGTTACAGTTATAGAAGAGTGATACATAGTTTGTATAAAGAGCAAAAGGGGCTACAAAGTAGAGAAGTAGATATCAGGAAGGGAGTCAGATAGGGATGCACACTGTTACCGCTACTTTTTAATTTATACATCGAAGACGCGACAAACATCATTAAAGACAGTAGAACTGTAGGGATAGATATACAGGAGCAAAAGATTAGTATGCTAAAAATTGAAGATGATATAGCAGTATTAGCATCTAGCAAGTAGGAGGTAATGATACCTTTAAATAAAATGGAAGCGATGTTGACAAAACAGTATTGTATGAAAATAAATAAAAGTAAAATAAAAAGCACTAGTTTGGAAGGAAAGAAAAAGTAGGGAAAAAGCGAATATAAAGATAGGAGACGAAAAATTAGAAGAAGTGGCTAACTTTAGGTATCTAGGAAGTCAGGCAAGTCAGGACGGAAGGAGCAGTTGGGATATAAAGCAGAGAATAGCGCAGGGCGAGTCGCCTTCAATAAAAAGAAGTCACCTCAATGCTCGCGAACGGTTAATTTAGAAATTCGAAAAAGATTGTTCAATGTGTATGTTTGGAACGCGGCTCTATACTAGTGCAAAACGTGGACGGTGGGCGCGGCGGAAAGGAAAGGGTTAGAAGCGTTCGGAATGTGGTGTCATAGACGAATGAAGAGGATACCGTGGATAGAGAAGGTTAGAAATGAAGAGGTATTAGAAGGAATAGGAGAACAGGGGACTCTATGGAAGTCAATAAGAAATAGGCGAGATAGGTAAGTAGGACACCTTCTTAGACATAGTCTAGTCAAAGACATATTAGAGGCAGAAACAGAAGTTAGGAGTAGTAGAGATAGATCTAGATTAGATTATTGTTCACAAATAGTTAAGGATGTGGGATGTTCTAGTTTTAGGGAAATGCGAAGATTAGCTCAGAATAGGAAAGAGTGGAGGTGCATGTCGAACCAGTCTTAGGACTGACGACCTTATGATGATGATGAATTTTTTGGCAAATAGACTAGAAGACTAAATGTTTCATAAAATTTCAATCTACTTTAAGAAGTATTGGGAGTCCTGAAGCAAATACTGCAGTCACTTTGTATTTTGATGTACCTTATTTTAGTATTGATAATAAATTTGTTTATTTATAATTTGTGTAATAATAATATGAATGTCGACAGTCGAAGAGTAACTAAGCAGCCAATGTTAATAATAGTTATAGCCAGTAAGCAATTTCTTCAATTAAATATACAGAAGGGAACTTATTTCGAGAAATATATGGAACATCCTTTATCATTTTTTTGCTGTCTTCTAATTGTTGTTTATTACATGTGTACGCCGTAAGAACCTTTCCATGACTGAAACGTAAGTATATTATTGATAAAGGTGTTATCTTTCTAAATTTGGAGGGGTTAGAGGATTAAACTACTCTTATGAAGATATTGGTCCTAGTATTTATAATAAATATTAAAAAAAAAATTTAAATTGCATACAGTAAATGCATTAATTGCTCTAGTGTGATACTCAAAAGTTGATAACAAAAATTACAGTTAGACTTCAGTGTTAGTACCGTCAGATACAATATTTCCTTTTCTATTTGAATTATTGTTACACCGTAGGTATATTTCTATGTGCAACAGATTTTTTTTATTGATAATAAACAAACCAACAGACCTTAGGTACATTGCAATATAAAGGTGGGGTTTATGCTAACACTACCGCTCTAAACCACGTAACAAAAATAAATTATATAAAATTCATTAGGCATGAACTTAAAGATAGATAAATAACAATAATGGTTAAATTTAATAAAAAATAATAATTGAATGATCATTCCAAGATTTTCGTAGATTGTGTTTATGTATATAAAGGGATTATAAAGTTCATGACCACCAAAAGTATTCATTTTGTAAGAATGGATCAAATCGTGATGCTAATGAATATCCGTGAGGTATCTGATCCCGAATCTACTCATTAAAGGAGCATAATTGTGGTCTATGTAGCTCATAGGATGCCTTGCTTCTATACAAAAGCATCTTGAGAGCTTGAGTCGGAATGATTCTAATAGATCCCTTTGATAGTCAAGATAAAGTCTCCAAATGACCAAGCAGTAAACAAAATGAGGTAATACAAAAGCTTTGTGCAGATACATTATTCTCTTAAAATTTTTCAAATCTTTTTACAAAACCTAGACTACGGTTAGCCTTAGCAACCACAGAATCTATTTGCGGTGAAAAAGAGAGAGCAGGGTCGAAAATAACTCTAAATCTGATATTTGATCTACTCTATTCAAGCTAGCTGAGTTTTGTTTTTGCAGTAACTCGAGACATAAAAAAACTAATTTTTATATTGATTGTAGTCCATTTTGCTGTGCTGGTTCTATAATACTACTCATAACATTTTGGAGACTAAAACAACATTTAGGGGTCACTACAATTTGCAATTGAACCGCTCTCCATATTGCTTATGGTTTTGCACTAGTGCATAAGCACACGATCAGTTGAGAGCTGATAATTGATGTTGGTACTTCAATCTTATTTGCCAATAAGAATTTTAACTGAAGTACCAACATCAATTATCAGCTCTCAACTATCAATCTTAAGGGGTATTAATTTTTGCATAAATTTATATTGTCAGCAAATATTAATAGTTTGGCAAAGCGCAAACTGCTAAGTATTTCTTTACGAAGACAATGAATAGGATGGGCCCCAGATGAGATCCCTGAGATACCTCAGATTGCGCTCTATCCACTAGAAATTAATACATTCAAGTGTATAGAGTTCCACTCACTTTAATACTCCACAACCTAGCTGGGAGTCTATAGCGGTTTACCGAATCAAGGGATTTTTGAAGCGAAACTTCCATATACGCTGGTGGTGGCGGAGAGAGGGCAGCGTCTGTATTAGCGCGAAGAGCGGGAAGTCCGCTAGAGTCCCGGCGGTATGTGCTGTGCTCAGCTGTTGTCTTCTTACCTCTGCTCTCCACGTGGCTGGACGCCTATTTGCGGTTTGTGTAAAAACCAAATCATAATTTGGATTAAACCTATGAAAACGAAATGTGTTCTGAGACACATAGTAGTAGTGAAACTTCGACGGACAAGTAAAAAAACGAATGGCAACGGAGAAGTTGAAAAACGAATCGCAACAAAATTTTTACTTCAATTTTTACGGACAGTTTGTTAATGTACTTGTCCAATTTGAAAATCTGCCCGTAAAACTTCAAGTAAACATTTTGTTTAAATTCGTTTTTCTACTTGCCCGTTGCTATTCGTTTTTCCACTTGTCCGTCGAAGTTTCACTTCTACTATGTGTCCCAGCACATATTTCGTTTTTAAAGTCTATATACATGGTGTCAACCTGATTAAAATTTTCAATTATTATAGGGGTAACACTACTAGATACTGGAAAGTCTGTAGTCATTGATCTGTTCTTTATGAAACTATGCTGTTCCTGAACTATTTTAGGGGGGCAAAAGTCAGCAAGCTTTCGAGCGACAATTTAATATTGAAATTGGATAATAATTACGTACTAATATCATTCTCATCGCCACATTTATGTACTGCTTGAGTGTATGCTATCTTCCACTGTGAGAAAATGTCTGAACGCAATGATTCGATATATAAGTGGAGTAATGAAACCGCGAGATTAGTGAACCACTTTTTTATAAATATTGGTGGATTATCCGGTCCTGAATGGACGTTGTCACTCAAAACGGTGACTTCCTCATAGAGATCAATATCAGAAATCAAAATGGTATCGAACAAGTATCTAGGTTCAACGAGTTCCAAGTCCTCCAAGGTAGTTGCATTATAAAAGACTGCATTCTTTGCTTATATCAGTTGAAGTATTTTATTATAATGTGACGTATATTAAAATCTTCCTTTACTTTTAATTCCTTTTAACTATGTAGGTGTTTGATAAACAATGAAAAGAATGGCAATCTTTAACACTCAATTTTATCTCGCAAAAACGTGAAATATACAGCTATGCCTTGATAGCAGCTTTAAGTATCAAATAATTCATTTCAAAAATATAAAATAGTTAAGTATAAATAGGACAATTCATCAGCTTTCAAAACACATTGTTATAAGGTGATCAAGCAAAATGAAACTCCTGTTCGTCTTAGCTAACGTTGCCTTTGTACTTTCCAACCCTCGTAAGTATTGCTGGAATACTCTTAATCACTATTCTCATTTAACTTACAGTCAAATCAACTAGAGTATGTAAGAGATATACTAATGTCTGCGTGTGTTTCATTACTGTATATTCACTAGGCATATACTTACGTGTTATACTATTAAAATATATAAATCCCCTTTTTCGTCGTTTCAGTAAATTTAGATACTTCCTCTGATCGCTTCATAACGGTATATAGCGACAATGGCGTGACTGAGGTGATCGATACTCTTGCTCCTATCCCCGAACCATTTGCCTCTGCATCCGACATCACCCTTTACCTGTATACTCAAAAAAATCCTTCGTCTCCCGAAGAATTGGCACTGGATGTTAGCTCGCTTTCGTCCTCATCTTATTACGATTCATCAAAGCAGAATATTTTTGTAATTCATGGTTGGCGAAATGACCAGGGTAGCGATGTGAACGAGGCCGTTAGATCTGCCTACCTTGAAGTTCTTGATGCTAACGTCTTTGTAGTAGATTGGAGTTCAGTGTCTTATTCAATGTACACAGTTGCTTTCTCTAATGTTCCCTCAATTGGAAGAAACCTAGGCCGATTCATTTCATCAATGCAAAGCAGCTATGGACTCGATGCAGACCAATTCACACTCGTAGGGTAAGGAAACAGTTTTAGGCACGAATAAAATAATTCGAAGTGGTCTGACGCGGATCGATGTTAAGACAGTAGGTAAAGTTGGTCTGTGTTCTGTCAGGGCTGCCTGCGACGCGCTGATGATATCCAAAAAGGTCGAAATCGCGATCCGCGTCTGGCAGTTTCGACAGAATAAGACCACTTCGAATTATTTTATTCGATTATGGTAACCTGCCTATCACGTTTAGGTTAGCTACGCCGGGATTCGTTTCAGCAAGTAGATATCAATATATTTAAATGGACCTTGTTGAAGCATCGTACAACAGATGGCATTTACTGCGCCATTTGTGGTAGTTTCTAGTTTTAGGCTCGTTCCTGTAAATAATATAATTAAAAAATGTAAAAGAGCATTTGAAATGATCTGATTGGTAAAAAGAACTCTCCCTTTTTTGTAATTTTGACAGTCACAGTCTTGGAGCCCATGTCGCTGGATGTGCAGGTTCAGCTGCAGATAGCAACGTTGGTGTAATAGTAGGAATGGATCCCGCAGGACCGATGTACTTCAACATCATTTCCAACAACAGATTGGACCCATCCGATGCCAAATTCGTTCATGTCATTCACACGTGCGGTGGTAGATTGGGTTATCAGGATAGTCTGGGAACCGCCGATTACAGACCCAATGGAGGTAGATCCCAACCTGGTTGCGGTGCTGATATAGCAGGTACTTGTGCACACTCCAGGGCTTATCAGTTCTTTGCCGAATCAGTGAAGTCGGGAGGATTCACTGCAACGAGCTGTAACAGCAGTAATAATTACAATTCTGGAAATTGTGCGTCGAATGGACAAAGCAAACTTGGAGGACTGAATATTGACACAAGGTAAATACTAGATAATTTAGGATTTCGAACTTTTCAGTGACTTACAACTATTTATTCTTTTAGTGCCAGTGGTAATTATTACTTGAACACCAATTCTCAGTCACCATATTCAGAATCATAATTATTGTAATAAATAAAGGGCCTTAATAAATAATGTAATAGAAAATATGCTTTACTTTTTTCTACTTCTGTGAGACAAATCTTATATTTAGCATTCTGTAGGCATATAACCGTTGGGATCGGTCGGCAGTTGACTTATAGTGAGTTGGTGAAAAGTAAATACGGTGTTTCTTCACACTTCACTAAATATAAGTGTAAGAGATGGTGAAACTTGGATCTACAAAAAAAGCAAAACGGGTTTATTGTTTCTCCTTGCTAGCCACAAGCAACCCTCTCTCAAGGGCTGAACAGATCCATTTTCTCTATTATGGTGTTTGGCGTTTTAGTACAACACTTTTGAGGCAGTGGTATACTTAAAATTAAAAAGCCAACCCTTTTTTGAAATTGTGACAAATATCACTGAAAATATTGACTAATAAATTCATTTTCAGTAACGGATGGTGGCATTTTAGCAATGTCTTTTATTTCAATTTGACTGATACTTTCTTTTGTTTTTTGCATTAAAATACAAAAGACAGAACAATAAAAACTAAGCGCAATTTCTGATGAACAGGACTTTAACATCGTGCATTCCAATAGCAAACCTATACTGACACATTTGTCACTAAAATGGCAAAACTCAGTTTTCATGGCGACTATATTGCGGAATCCATAACTGGAACCGATTTCTTGACAGATTTTCAATTTAACCATGCACACCACCCCGGTGAGATTACCCATCCTAAACATCCAGTCCTGTTTTTCAAAATAGGATCATCTGGGTCCTATAGGAGCACAGCGAGCAGATAAACAACTCGCACAGCATATTCGATTACCGAACACCTAACCTAACCTGGTCGCAGATCTGCATTAATGTGTAGATAATTTAGTTATAAACACGCTGTGAATAAAATGCGTAAATCAGTCTTGCATACGAATCCAAGCCCCTTGATCGCCTTCCTAAGATACTGTAAATGTACCTTTGCTTTGATCACACAATACAATATTATTATGATTTCTAGCACTAACCGGCTCATGAGAGAATAATCTTATTCGCTAATAGCAAACTTGTAAAAAATACATTCTAAAAGGTATTCAAATACAAATACAATTACTATTTTTCATAGAGACGGGTCTTCGATGATTATTTATCAACGGAACATGATAGTAGCCAAACCAAAAAAAAAACAATTGTCGAGTTTTAAGAAACCACGATACAAGTGAAACTTTTCGGATTGTAGACATTTAACTGTAAATTTTTGGAAAATTATTCCATTTAGGGTATTAAAATTAAAATCGCGTTCTTACTCTTATCTTAATGATTGGAAAATGGGAATGATAATGGGAAATCAATAGTAGACAACATATCCAACTATAAATTTTAATTTCAATCTGCGTATGAGGGTACGGAATACATAATGAATACAATAATTTAGATGATAGACGCATGTTAAAAACTGAGAACAATATTTATTTAATTCATTTAATCATTTTGAACTTCAGTTATTCCATCAATAATTTCATCTTCGCTTTAAGTTTCACAGTCTATAAATGTAATAGTCTTGCACTTGCACGAATAAGTGAGAATATAAATGTCACAGGGTTAGCTCATGCGAGCCATGGGCACCGCCATATTGGCCTTGGCTGTTCTGCCGAGCGCTTTTCAGTTTTACCCCTACTCCGCGGCCGGCTACAGTGCGACATGCGATAGATGGACGAAAAAATTTGAGGCGATGTAGTAAAAGTTTCACATTAAAATGAGAAGCGCGGATAAATGCGGGATATTTGAAATAAGTCAAACATTTCTCTTTGCATATTGAATATTCGCAAATGTACAGGCGATAATTCTAATTCTACCTCTTTGATTAAAAATAAGTCTGTTCTTTTAGTTTCTTACTAACGCGATAAGTAGATTACATAATTAACATTTTATGAACAATGATTACTGACTAAACAACTCTTCAATAAGAAAAAATTAACTATAAGCGCAATATGTATATGTACATGTAATGAAGATTTAGAGACCAAATTTTTGATGGTTTGGAATGGAGCCACGACGCGTGTCAGACCGGCTTTCGGCTTTTTTTAGAAGTTCTGGGGGTGCTAATTAGCATGGAAGTGTGAGAGGAAGTTTCGGACAGTAATTGTCTTAACCATAGAACGCCAATGTATGTAAAATTTACGTGTATCATTTTTTAAATATGTAACGGCACATCTCCAATAGATTTCTGTAACATGTGCTTCTAGCAGTGCTCTCCATACACCAGTAACCTACTACTGCTACTTCTCGGCAGTTGCACAGTTGTGGTCTCATCCTTATTATGAATACACTATACCCCTACACGTATATTTTACGTATGGTTAACATTTCCGTTAACTGACTTCAATACAATACATTAACTATACTAAAAATATTCTGTACTGTTTGTGGAGACCAAATAAAAAGTACTTATCGCTGCGTTTCATGAAACAAAACTACTATTTTGTTTGTTACTTACTTAATTTAATAATTCAGTAGAAAAATATCTTTTTTTTATTATATTAACTAGCTTTTCCCCGAGGCTTCGCTAGCAGAAATTAATATTGTATCTCCATAAAACCTTTTAACTCCCAATTCACCCTTACAACGTATTAATTTTATTTAATGTCG